AATTATTCACAGGGATATAAAATCAAGCAACATCCTTTTGGATGAAAAGTTCGTTGCCAAGGTCGCTGACTTTGGGCTGTCCAAGCTTGTTCCACAAACAGATGGCAAAGGCCATGTTTCGACACAAGTGAAAGGAACTCTGGTAAGATCGATCATACTGTTTTGCACCTACATTTGTTCTCACTTTCCTCCATACTTTTCCAGGGATACTTGGATCCAGAGTATTATATGACACAGCAGCTTACAGAGAAAAGCGACGTGTACAGCTTTGGAGTTGTTCTCTTGGAGCTTATCACAGCCAAGCAGCCAATCGAGCATGGTAGATACATCGTTCGCGAAGTAAAAGCAGCTCTCGACAGAGGAGGCCTCTCTTATCTTCTACCGTTGCTGGATCCATACCTCAGAGACTATCCTCGAGAGGATCTTGACAAGTTCTTGGAGATAGCCTTGAGCTGCGTCGACGAGTCTGCTAGCAACCGGCCAACCATGAACGAAGTTGTCAAGGAGCTCGAGATTTTACTGTCACACATCTCCAGCTCTGGATTCACAAGGGAGGCGCGAGCCAGCCCCTTGTACAGCGATGCCAAGTCTCTCAGGTCTGACGATTCATCCTTCCAGTACAGTGGCAGATTTCCTCAAGTAGTGGAACCAAAGTGAAGTAAGTTTTGCTTACTTTTGGTTCCTTTGGGCTGATGAGTTTCTTGCGGATGTACCATCCAGTGTTTTATATCCTGAGTTGTAAAAACCAGTTTTTTTTCCTAGGTAGGTTGAAGAGCATGGTAATAAGAAGAGCCCCTCTTGGTAAGGTTTCAATGGACACGAACAAATGGGTGAGTCTTCTTATTTTAGATTGCTCTCTCAGAAAGTGTCGGGATGCAAACAATGTAGGATGCTGATGCTTTGTCTTCCTTTGTCAATTTTTTTGGTGGGGTGCATTCTCTTTTGGAGTGTTTTCTCCTTCCTTTTTTATTCCTTTCTCTTCGATCATGATGGAGCTGACAAGAGCTATGGTTCTGTGTGTGCAGGAATGGAACGACGGAAGAAAGGAGGATTGAGCAAGGTCAGGCTTTAAGTTTTCTAGACTTAGATGGGTCACTCGGAGAAGCTCGAGGGCGATTCCGGACAAGGCTCGCAGCTATGGCAGCTTTCTCCTTCTCCTGGAGTCGCTGCTTCGTCTCCCAGGTCAGACTCCTCCACAAAGTCCGACGAGCTAAGCAACATCCGGGTCAAGCTCATGTGTAGCTATGGTGGAAAGATCCTTCCTCGGCCCAATGACAGCCAGCTGAGATACATGGGTGGAGAGACCCGGATAGTTGTCGTGGACAGAGCCATCACTCTGCGCGAGCTCCTGCAAAAGTTGCGAAAGCTGACCGGGAAATCCATGCTGTTCAAGTACCAGCTCCCAGGTGAGGATCTAGACGCGCTGGTTTCGGTAAAGTCCGACGAAGATCTGGACAACATGATGGAAGAGTACGACAGGTTGATGCAAAGAGATCCAGCTGCTCGGCTGCGAGTGTTTCTCTTCCCGGACAAGCAGCATAGCAGTGAAGAGAGCTTCGGTGACCACCACTCGGCGACTGGAAGGAGCTCGGATCAGCAGTTCATCGATGCTCTCAACGGGATCGGAGTTCCACTCGTGCCAGCGATGAGAGCCGCCAGGGATAATCTAGGACCAGGGATGGACGTTGCCGCAGCTTTCCAGGGGGTGGACGCGAGCAAACTTCCGGAGTCTCTGGACGTAGACGACGAGGCCGCCATTCTTTTCGGCAACCACGAGTTCCACTTCACTCCCGTCGCTCGCTCCATGTCCCCGCAGAGACTACCGCCGGCTTGCATCCCGCTCTCCTCGACCCCGTTCGTGCCGGATCAAGCCTCCGTGACTGCAGTGTTTCGCTCGCCTCCGGAAGGAAGTGCTATCAGCATTGCAAGGCAGCAGCATTTCTCCGAGCAGCAGCCACGGTCGGGATCCAGGAGCCCGACCCGGAACTCGGCTCTTCTCGACGACTCTCCTCGCAGTGCTCGGGCAGCCATGTCTCCTTCCAGATTCCGGGACTCGCCTCTAGTCCATGCTCGCCAAGCTATGGGGAGCCCAGCGCCAGCGGCAGTAGTGAATCCAGTGATAGCGCCGGGGAAGGGCTTCGCTCCAGTGGCTCATCAGCATCACGTAAATCAGAGCTACTCGAGCTTATATCCTTTTAGCGACCGCTAGTCAATTGGTAAAGAAAGGTGGTGTTAGAAAAGCATAAGAATTATATTCTTCAAACGGTGCCTTGTAGACAAAGAAGAGCTTGGGATAACTTTATTTCTTTAATACGTTGGGGGCATTAATATAAGCAACAGTTCCAGCAAATACAACATAAATTACAAAACCCTCGAGATCGACATTTTTTAATTCGCTAGCTTACAAGTGTGATCTCCAATATAAACCGAGACAACATCCGTGCAAACAGAAGAAGCAAATTTCCAAATCTCCTCCATGGCAGCACTCTCCTCACATTTCCTTGAAGCAATCCTTTTTCTCTCATTGTTTCTCCTGGCCCCGAGAGGGCAGGCTCAAGTCTACACAACGTACAACCAGTATGATCCAGCAGCCAAAAATTATCAGCTAGATGGCCTCTACTGCGCAACTTATAGCGCGCATCAGCCACTCTCTTGGAGATCTCAGTACAAATGGACTGCGATGGATGCTTCACTGGGAATGGGTCCCCAAATGTGTGGACAATGTCTCGAGGTAGTATAGTTATAGGATGAGAACTTTGGATCTCTCAATCTCTCTTTTTTTTTTGAAGGTGACGAATATTGCCACTGGAGCTCAAATCGTGGTGAGAGTTTTGGATCAGAGCAGCAATGGAGGCTTGGATTTAGAGACGGATGCTTTCAACACGATTGACACCGATGGCGGGGGATATGCGTCAGGGCATTTGTACACTTCGTACACTTCCTTCAGTTGTTAATCCTTTTGGATTTTCAATTTTACAAACTTTCCGGGTTTTTGTTATATGCAACTTTCCCGGGAGAATTCTCGTCTTGCAGAGATCCAAAGCCTAGCGTCGCTACTCAAATCACAGGGAATCTCAAGGAATCTTTCCGAAGCCAAGAAGATCCATGCTCGAGTTTTGTGTGGCAAGTACTGCCGGAATAGATACCTCGGGAATCTGATCATCGAAATGTATGGAAAATGTGGTAGCACCAGGGATGCTAGTCAGGCCTTTGAGAGCATGCACGGGCCGAATCTTTTCTCCTGGAACATCCTTCTTACGGCGTATGCCCATAATGGGCATATTTCCGATGCTAAGCGGGTGTTTGAGAGCATGCCGGTCTGGGACATTGTGTCGTGGACCGCAATATTGACGGCATTCTGCCAAAACGATCAATTGGACGAGGCGAAGATTATATTCGAGAGAATGCCAGAGTGGAACTCAGTATCCTGGAATTCTTTATTAGCTGCATATGCACTTAGTGGGCATCTTGAGGAATCTAAACAACTCTTTGACAATATGCCAGAGAAAAACGTCTTGTCGTGGAATCTCATGCTTCAGGCAAACGTCCAAGCAGGGAATGTCGAGGAGGTTCTGCTTTTGTTCCACGAGATGCCGCAGCACGACATTGTGACGTGGACAAGCATTGTAAGAGTGTATGCCGTGACTGGGCATCTTGAAAAGTCCAAGCAAGCGTTTGATGTCATGCCCGAGAGAGATTCCTTCTCCTGGAACATGCTGATGACGGCATATTCTCAGCACGGCTATGTCAGTGAAGCTAAAGAGCTCTTTGATCAAATGCCAGAAAACGATGTCACTTCCTGGAATGTGATGATCACAGCCTACTTTCAAAACGGGGATATGGAAAAGGCCATGAGAACGTTTGAAGACTCTCCAGATGGTGATGTCTTCTCGTGGACCTGCATTGTTGCTGCACACGCCCAAAACGGGGACCTCGAGACGGCACAAGAGCTGTTCGAAAAAATGCCCCAAAGAAACATTGTATCGTTCAATGCCATGATCACCGCTTACGCCGAAAGCGGGCTCCCTGAAAAAGCTAAGGAGATGTTCAACAGAATGCCGCAGAGAAACACTGTTTCTTGGAACGCTTTGTTGCAAGCTTATGCCCAAAGAGGCCATCTTGAAGAATCCTACGAAATTTTCACCGTCATGCCAGAGCCCAACTCCATCTCATGGAACACGATGATCACACTGTATGGCGAGCGCGGTCATCTCGAACAAGCTAGAATATTCTTCGATAAAATGCCTTTTCACGACGTTGTCTCATGGAACGCTATGATCCAGGCATATGCCCGGAACGGTCAATGCAAGGACGCCATTCAGCTCTTCTTGACCATGTGTCAACGGGTCATTGACCTTGAGTCAACAACGTTTCCTATCGTTCTGGAGGCATGCGGGACGCTGGGGAGCGCTGCCGCTGGTCAGCACGTCCATGCGAGGGCCGTTGACTCCGGCCAGCAGTCAAACGTGGTTGTGGTCAGCGCCCTGGTCAACATGTATGGGCGGTGTGGCCACCTCGGGCGAGCCAGGCACGTCTTTGACACAATGCCGCACAGAAACACCATTTCCTGGAATGGGATGATCGCGGTTTACGCGCAAAACGGCCGAAACATGGAGGCTCTGGAGCTTCTCAAGACCATGGACGTGGAGGGCGTTGACACGAGCGAGATAACTTTCATCAGTGTTCTAGCTGCGTGTAGCCATGCTGGGCTTGTTGAGAAGAGCAAGAGCTACTTGAGATCCATGGGCTTTGATCGTGGGCTTGCGGCGGTGGTGGATCACTACGAGTGCCTGGTGGATGTTTTGGGGCGTGCTGGGAGGATTGGGGAGGCCGAGGAGCTCATCGCAAGCATGCCTTACACCCCGGGTGCCGTGGCTTGGACGAGCTTCTTAAACACTTGGAGAACAGGCGTCGATCACCGGCGAAAGTTTGGTTCTTCTGCGGCGGAGAGGGCGGCTTCGCTTGATCCAGACAATGCCGCTCCTTATTTGCTTCTTACAGATGCAATTGTGAGCTGATCAGTCCTTCTGTTTTGACTTGGCATCACAGTAGCAATCTATATATCTCCAGTCGAAAAAGATTCTCCTACCGTGATCTTGCACTAAAGGCTCGGTGTCAGTGGAAACTAAATACAAAGAGAAAGAGAAAGAAGGTAGTGCTTGGTCATAGTGAGCAATAGGCTTTATAGCTATGACCATTGTATTGAATGACTTTGTCCATAGCGCCTAGCTGAGAAGCACTATGTGGAACCATAGCTCTAGAAGCCATTGTCTCGATTAATTTAATTTACATTTTTTGCATCCATTAGTCGCATGCTTCCAGTTGGGCATCACAAGACTATCAAAACAGCATATAGGTAGATGGTAGATGGCTAAGCACTTATAAATCTATTCTCACATCATAAAGTCAAATGTTTAAACAGCACGTTAACGTCATTCGAAGAACTTGGAAATGGTAAACGCTTAAAATTTAAAAGAAACTCTGGCGCGGCTTTGACTAGGCAATGTGCTTTGCCAGAAGTGAAGAAATCAAGCAAAAAAAAATTAAACTGATCAATATAGAATTAAAGTCATATGTTTTCAAGTTTGAAATTTTGACAGCCGGAAAGTCCGGAAAGCCAGCCCGCCAGATGGAAAGTTTCTAGTCCAAAACGAGGGATCCGTCGATCCATGAAACGCGGGATCTCAAAGAATATAGCTAGGAAGCTCGCCACCGAAACGATATAAATCACTAGTCCAAGACATTGATAACACGTTCCCATCCACTCCCATCACCATTTCTTTTCATCACCAATCCATCCGATAGAAAGAGAGATCATCCATTTGACTAGCTCTTGGGAGCTTTCCATCGAGGAATCGAGAAAAATGCCGTCGTTAACGATCCACAGGCCAGCATTTCTAGCAGTTTTCCTCTCGATCATCGCGATTTCCTTGCAATTGGCAGCACCCTCCTCGATCTATCACGAGTTGGAGGCGAACCAATCCTGCCGATGCACGGCATTCAATAGCAGCTGCTGGCCCAGCGCCCAATCCTGGCAGGATTTCAATCGATCCATCGATGGCCGCCTCATCGCGCTCTCCCCTCCAGCCTCCCCCTGCCACGATCCCAACTTCAACGCGCAGGCCTGCAGGACCGCGCAGCAGCGATGGGGCTTTCCATTCTGGCGCGCCGATCAGCCCGGCGCGATGCAAGCCAGCAACTGGGAAGCCCTCGGCCGATTCACCTGCTTGATCAATTCGCCCAGGAACTCCACTTGCTTCCAGGGCTCTGTCGCCACCTACGCGGTGAATGCCACGGAATCCCGCCACATCCAGGCCGCGATCGCGCTCGCCCAGGCCAGGAATCTCCGGATCGTGATCAAGAACACCGGCCACGACTACCTGGGGCGATCCACCGCGCCGGGAGCTCTCATGATCTGGACGCACAACTTGCGAGAGATCGTCTACCACGAGAAATTCGCGCCGATGGGCTGCACCATCCGGGCCGAGGATCCTCCGGCGATGACCATCGGGGCGGGGATCCAGTGGGAGGATCTCTACGCGGCGGCGTTCAATCGAAACCATGTCGTGGTGGGCGGCGGATCTTCCTCGGTGGGCGGCGCTGGCGGGAATCCCATGGGCGCCGGGCATGGCCCTCTCTCGCCGCTCCACGGTCTAGCCGCGGACAATGTTCTTGAGCTCAAGCTCGTCACTGCCGATGGGCGATTGATCGTCGCGAATCGCTGCCAGAACCGCGATCTCTACTGGGCTCTGCGCGGCGGCGGGGGTGGAACGTTTGGAGTCGTGGTCTCTCTCACCCATCGCCTCTATCCACCTCTCACGAACATCGTGTATGCGAGCTATAGCTTCATGGCATCGTCCAGGAGAGCGTTCCGGGATCTCCTGGTGAAATTCACGGAGCTCCATCCATCGCTGGAGAGGGCCGGGTGGTCGGGCGTGTTCGCCATGAGCAATGTCACGGCTCTCAGCATGACCTATCTCCTGCCCAACAGGAATGTCTCCTTCGCCAACGCCACGCTCGCGCCGCTGGAGAGATTCGCGCAGTCCAGTGGATCATCGATCCAGCTGAACGCGAGCTTGCAGAATTTCCCCTCGTTCCAGCAGTGGCACCTCGTGATCCAGTGCGGCGGCGCGCCGGATTGCCGCGAGCTCAACTCCTCCACCACGCAATCGCTCGCCACCGCTGGAATCCCTCTCTTGCTCGCCTCGCGGCTCATCCCAAGAGCCACGATCCAGTCCTCGCCAAACGCCACCGCCGACGCTTTCATCGCGATCCAGGACAGATTCCCGCTGGTGTCCATCACCGGGATCTTCGTCGCGGGTGGATCCGTGAGCCGCCCGAGGAACAACGCTGTGAATCCAGCTTGGAGGAGAGCGCTGTGGCATGTGATCCTCGGGATCAGCTGGATGGAACTGGGCGATCTGGAAGAGGAGCGCATCGCGGCCAGGAATGTCAGTGCCGCGAATCAATTCCTAGTGGATCTTACTCCAGGATCGGGGGCGTATGGGAACGAGGGGGATTTTAACGAGCCGCGGTGGCAGAGGACGTTCTTTGGGGCGAGCTATCCGCGATTGCTAGCGATCAAGCGGAGGGCTGATCCGGCGGGGATGTTTAGATGCCGGCACTGTGTGGGAAGTGAGATTTGGAGCGAGGATCTCAATTGCCCTGCTGGGATTGCCCAAGAGGATCAACCGCTTGTTTCGAGTTTCTAGCTCACCAAGCAGCTAAACAGGCTTTTGGGGTTGTTTCGAGTCACTTCGGAATAAGAATTACAGCAGCAGAAAATCTAAGCTTTTCACTTCTTTGATGCTATGGCTGGAATAGCGTCATTGTTGAAATAGCCCGAACCTAAATCTTAAAAACATGTGAATAAAGTGCGTGTCTGCTAAGCTTCAAGCCACGACGTAGAATTCTCACCACTAAATCTTACCACAATACGGCCACCTCTTGGACTGTATGGTTCTTATTGCCAATCATACAATTAGTAAAAGACAAGATGTAGAAATGTCCAATTCAGCCCATATATAGCTTTTCTTTTTGCACATCACCATGCCCAGACAAAAATGCAAGAGAGTGCCCCCACTAGATCAGGAGACAGTGAATCTCAGTTGTAACACGGAACATCTGAAGGCTGACAATAGATCATGGAAGCAAATTGAGCAGAATGAGAAGGTATAACATCATGATCTTTAGTGAGACATGGGAGAATCCAACAATACCCTGGGTACATTGCATACTCCACACCCCATATGCATGCAGATCCACTCAGTAAAGGACTTGGGGGGACTTGCATATGTGTCCAGTAAGCCATACACCTCTAGGATGTCATCCATGACCTTGCCATGAACTTCACTGCTCAGGCTTTAGTTGAACACCAGCGAACAATTGGTCATGATTGGCTGCTACTTCTCATTGTCCACAATGGCAAACAATACTCACCCTTTGACCATCTAGCCCAGACGATCAAACAGTGGCACACACAAGTCACAATTGCAATGCTTGGGGGTCAAGCCAGGCTCTTGCTGAGCAAGGAAGTGACTTGACCAAAGCACCAAACAACCTTTAGCACACACACACCAAAGACAAGAAACTCCTCCAAAGTGGTGTTAAACTTCTCAACTTTTGCATGGCAATGCAATTGCTCATTGTGAATGGCATCGAACCCTAGCCAACTACAGGGATGCATGATGTGGAATGGCAATGACTACATTCTCATCTCACAAGTTGCAATTGATATTGTGGTTGACTACCACCTCCAAGACTTTCTTAATTCCAAGATTTCATGCCATTGCCCATTCAACATCTCACTAGTCCAAGACAGCATTAGAAGTCCACTTCACGTCTCCACTGCCCTGGGCCATGTCCACTCATAAGACATCCCGAAGTTTTAAGAAAAATTCCAAGAGTCTTAGCATGCCTACACTAGACCAACATGTAGTGGTCCAGACCTTGTCACAGCAGCCATAGACATTTTTGCCCTACACAAAGTCAAATATGCTACCAAGTTCCTAAAGGCTCACTAGTGGGATGCAGAATGCTTTATAGCACTTGCCACCAAATGACAAGAGTTACATGTGGGGGTAGTAGACCTAGCCAAGGTGAGACACACTTTTTGATAGCTCTACCAAAGGAAGAAAAGAATATATATCAAGCATATCAATGATGAACAAATCAAGGACCTCCACACTAACCCTGCCTAGGCACATAGGATCTTCTGCAAACCTTGAGTAATCACGATACTCAGCAATGTTTGGGTGGCATACCTCCACAAGTTTTACAACACTGCTACACCACTAGTCTTGACATAGCAACACGAGAGGATGGCCACCTTCTCTACAAAGGACATTATCAATGCTATTTGAAAACTACCAAGACATGATGTACAAAAACTCATTGTAGAGATAGTGCTGCCCGTGGATAAAAATTTCCTTGAGGCAATTTTCAACAATATAGCTAGCACTAGCTTCCCAACAACATGGATGATAAAACATGTAGTACTACTAGAACAACACATGTGCGTGCATGGGGTTAGACTAGCTTTTGCCCATATAAAAGCTACACAAACCACCTAATTATGTTTTGAATCCTAGTCAATCACTCCTATGCAAAAAGAGGCATTGATTGTAAGCAATCAAAGAAAATGATTCGAGAGATGATCTATGAGTTTCAAATATAAAGGAAAAGGGCCTATGAACAAGAATGCACCCTTTTTTCCAATTGATTAAAGGTTTTGGGATACTTAGGGTTAAGCGTCTTTGGGTTTGAATAGTACTGGGATTGATAACCTCTTAGGAAGTCCAAATTTAGGGCTTACATTTTTCTACTATTTTGTGAATTTTAAAAAGGCTTTTGACATTGTACTAAGACACTTGCTTTTCCAACAACTAAAGGAACTCAATCCATTAGTTGATATCATCAATGCCATAAAGCACTTTTACACTTTTATTCAAGCCAAGCTCACTAGACAAGCAATAATCCCCTATGACACCAGTGTCAAACAAGGATGCCCACTCTCCTTAACTCTACATAGATGTATTGGAAAGCCTTTTGATTGAGTGTGAGCTTTCCACTTGTAATGCATGTGATTATGGGATGAGATTACCATGGATCCTTAGAATCTTGAGGAATAAATATGGGTTCTCTCATCAAGCAATTACCCCTTTTCCAATTGGCTTAAGAGGAGAGATAGGGCATGTTATATGTGGTATTGGAGTAAATGGCACGAGTTCAATTCTCATTGATTAATAACTACTTAAAATATAATATATTTTTTAATAAGGTATATTCCTACCTCTATGTATTGGGCATCCATGCATATGTCCTTTCTCTTCTAAAGCATCATAAACAAAGGTATTTAGTTGTCTTATATAGAATAACTAATTTACACAATAGAAGGATAAAGGTATTTAGTTGTCTCATATGAACTAACTAATCTAAATAATAGAAGAATTGAATGGAAGGACAAAGATATTTAGTCCTCTCATATGGAATAATTAGTCTACACAATAAAAGGATTGGTAGATTCAATGCGGACATGGAATAATTGATCTACACAATAAAAGAATTGGTAAATTTAATGCAGACATGGAATAATTGGTTTACACAATGGAAGGATTGAATGGAAGGACGAAAATATGTAGTTCTTTCACATGGAATAACTAATTTTACACAATAGAATGATTAGTAGATTCAGTGCAAACATAGAATAACTAATTTACACAATGGAAGGATTAGTAGATTCAATGTGGAAATGGAAGTGCTAATTCCCCTCAATAGATTCAGTCCGAACACGGAATAATTGGTCTATACAATGAAAGAATTGGTAGATTTAATGTGGAAATGGAAGTGCTAGTTCCTTTTGGCTTAGTCAGTGAGTCTTTAGTTGGATTAAAGGGAGAGAAATAAGGTGCTACACCACTATCCAAATCACTAACCTCTATATTCATCTCATGCTTTATGCCAATAATCTACTACTCTTTGCTACAATAGAAAAGAAGATATAACAATAGTTAGAGGTCTTTGAGGAATTCTACCAAGACATAAATCTCAAGATCAACTTGACCAAAAACATAAATTATGATCTTCAGTTTTAAAGCAAGCCACACTGTGCTCCACTATTAAGGACAGGAGGTTTTACAAGTTACCACTTATCTTGGTTATCACCTTCACCATAAGTGAACATGGACCGCTTGAGTAATTCAACACAAAGCCATGGCCAAATAGGTATATTACAGCCTATTGAACTCACTCTACCAAGCAACCATTTACTAGTGGGATGCATGAAAAGAGCACTATCAGGCTAGGGTCAACACCACACTGGTATATAGCTGCACCACATGGGCCCCTAGCCAGAGCTGGTCCCACCTAGAAAGGCTTAATTGAACTTTCATTGCCAATGACTTTGAGGAGATTGAACTACTTCCAGTTGAGATCCTAAGAATGGAAGTGCATCATGCAATTCATACTCTCCACACAAAGAGACATTTAACCACTATGCTCAGGTAGTTATTGAAGACTCGATCCAGCTTGACTCCAAAAAGAGCTAGGGATGGTGGAAGGATTGCCCAAAGTGGATGGAATGCCTCAGCCTGAACTTCAATGAACTATTAGACCAACCAATCACTACAATCCCCTTGGCATGGATTAGCCTTGCATTTAAAGACTGGTTGGCAGGCTCAAACAAGAAGTCCTGCTTCCAAGACTACCTCAACAATATCAACCCTAAGAGAATCATTGGCACCAACATTCCTATGCCACCAAGGACATCCTTTTAAATTATTAAACAAACATGCACTCACTTCACATCAAACTAGGCTGAAGATAGACACCAGTCACACCTAGAGATGCTCATCTCTGCCCTCTATGCAAAATAGAAATAAAAACCCTATCATATATCATATACAATTGCCCTACCTACATGTGGCTACAACTCTTCTTTCCCACACTAGACTTCCATGCCCATGACCTCCCAACATTTATGGGGAACAAAACCATGATAGGAACAATCACTCTTTGAATGGCAACTCCCTTCTCTTCCTACTTAAAACCCATGCTCTCATAGGTTAATGACGACTATAAACACATCTATCTAATATCTAATAGTGAATCTTTCCAATATTTATATATATATTTTTGTGTCTTGTAGGCCATTATAAGCTTGAGCCATGGAAAATCTACACCCATGCTATAATTGATAGTGGTACCAAAGAAACTAGGAAAATTGTTGAAGTAATTTCCTACACATATACAATAACAGTCTAGAATTATAGGAGGCCATACAAAGTCCAATTTGATTTTGCAAAAGAGTTCAATAGTATAGAACCCAATATTAATAGAATCTGGTGTGAGTGATAAACATTTATTTGAGGTTGCTCAATCCATAATATGGTTTGTGCTCTTTGAATATTTCCTTGTAAACTTCTCCATTAACTTTTGATATCTAGTATATCAAAAAATTATAGAAGGAACTTTATGAGAAAGTTAAATGGTTTTATCTACATCTACTATACTTGATAGAGGAAAATGGATATTTCAACCTGACAAACCCCATATATGTACATTGTTTACATGTTGTATTCATTCATTTGACCACTTAGAGGAGTTTTACTCACAACCTTTATGAGTATTCATCCTAACTTGGGGTACTTATTGAGACCTCAAAAGTGGCTTCAAACCCATATTGACTTCATACTTGGTCTTTATGCCTAAGTCCTACTTCAGGCATCCAAAGGTACTACTGATAAATCAACTTTTTATATTAAGGCCATGTCCATTTTTATTGTCTTATTCATGTTTACAAACCCTCAAACACATACTAATTTCACACTTGGTCTTAGTACTTTATATGTCTAAGTTTTATTTCAGGCGTCTAAAAGTATTATTGATATATC